ACCTGCACAAAGAGGAATCTGAAATATGCAGTAACGTTTTCAAATCCAGTGTATGTTAAGGGCTCTCGGCTGTTTACTTTGGGTGAGCCTTTATCCGTGATTATAAAGTAATTGCTTCCTCTTGATTTATATCGCCGCGGTAAAATTTCATTTTAAGTACCCCTGTTAATGTTTATCGGATTTCAACCATGGTTGATCGTTAAAACTAGGCATATACACATTTAAAGGTGTCCATTTGGACAATTTTATCAGGCCTGGTTGCGCGCCCCTATACCCTTGAAACACCAGCCCCTCCAGGCCCCACCATACCCCATGGGGCGTGGTGGGGATTTGAAGGGGCTAGAGGGGGCACAGGCGCGGCAATTCCCCCATTAGGCCCCCGCTAGCCCCCCTTCCCGTGCAAAAAAATGTGCAGGGGGCGATTATTTTAGCGATATTGGTAGCCCGGTCGTACGAATCCTTCGCTATACTCACTGACGCATAAGATAGAACACAATACGATGACTAAGGGTGTTAGATAATTTATTGATATGAAAAATAACTTGGAAAATTTTTACAGCGAATAATATCGTTCGTCCTCTGATTGCACAGTTCATGGGAACCATCGCTTTTGTCTTCCACAGCTAGTTCCTACAATATTATAAATCTGTTGGTTAGTAAAATAAATGGGTGCTAAAGGAAGTTGAACAATTCGGTATTAAAAAGCGCGTCACCTTAGTAATACATGGATACAGATAAGAGATGTTCAAACGTTTATGTTCGAGTCCATATTGAACAATACATATAGATGGGCACTTACACTACTTCCGTAGTCACATTTCCGCTGTAGTGTGTTTCCCGCCTCTTCGAACGTGAATACACGAAGCATTGCGTTTGCCACGTGCAGCTTTTTCTCGAAAAGAAGGAATTGGTTGATTAGAGGTAAACTGGTACACTTTGTAAAATCTGATAAATGGCTCATGATTCAATTCTACGAGTCTATATATAGACATTGTCATCAGCATTTGCCTACGCAGTTGGTTGTGTTTCATGGCCTTACTTTTTCGTGTGACAATATTTCGCGATCGAGATGAAAGTTGCCGGGCCGTCTAGTATGTTGGTCGGTTGGTTGGTAGCCCTTGTTGGATCAGGGGTCCCCGCCGGAGTCCAAACTGAGTGCAGTTGGGAGACGGAGAAAAGCTGCGACCACAGCCGGCTTGAGCCACAGGTCCACGGGCGTGAGTTGGGTGCCTGGCCGGGAACTGCAGGCGAAGTCTAGTCTGTTAAATGCCCACGGCTACGAACTGTAGAAATCCTCCTGAAGAAGACCGTCCGGTGGCCATATTGAGTACCCTGCTTGCGGGGTAGTGGTTTTGTTCTAAGATGTATATGGACATTATCGACTTAGCCAATCAGAAAGTGAGCGCTGTCCTGTTCTTCTAGATTGTCGACAATGTTGCGATCGCAACATTGACAAAGTGTCATTTCGACCGTAGCGGCAAACCCAAAGTTTCTGAATCCAAACGTTTGTAGTCTTTAC